CGTAATGATGACATTTCCTCGGGAAATGCACCGCCGCTACAGCAGCCGTCACCTCGTTTCCTGAACCGTCGACAACTGTTAAGCACCGTGACCATGAGCGTACGCTTCCACCGGGTGCAATAAATACAAGTACCAAGACACGGACGTCTACTTCGAGGGACTTCATACTTCCTTATGTCCTGCGCATGCTCAGAACATCAGAAGTGGGGGACTTGTGTTGGGTTAATGGCCCAAACCGAGGTCCGGCCCATTAACCCCTTTCTACCAGACGCACGACCAGTTAGAACACAAGGCTAGCCGCAGGCCCATGTTCTTTGGAAAGGGACGAACATCTTGTGTGGAGGGTTTTTAGGCTCAATGGCCCATCGCGACGAACGTCTGTGAGGGGACAAGGAGCAGGATCACGGGCCATCAAGGATGGCGATGAACGTCTCCTAAGCAGGCCCATGGTCATCGGAGGAAATCCAGTCCACATGGTGGGAATCCATCAAGGCCAGGAGACGAACATCCGAGGCCTCTTGAGGGTCACTTGGAGCGATCCAGCTTGTTTCCCGGACGGACGAACGTCCCCACTATTCAGGCGGGAAACCTAGATTCTGGCGGGAAGTGCATTTAATGCTAAAGATTTGGTGGTTGGGACACCAGCGGTCCACAGGCCTCCACGTCAGCATAGCCACCTGCCCATTGGCGGGTATAAATAGAAGCATTTATTTCATTGTAAAGGGTTGGCAACTTTCTATTCTTAGCACTCTAGTTATAGCATTCTTACTCGCAGCACCTCTACTGCCTTGTAAGACGAACGGCCGACGGAGCCTTAGCGAAAAGTATTGTATTAGGGAGTTATTAAGAGATAATAATACCTAATCACTTACTTGCTACCTTACTGTTTCTTGACCCCTATTATCTGCTTGTTGGGCTAGTTTATTCACACACACTCCATTCGAAATCCTTGGGCTTACGTGTTGGACCCGGGGGTTGAAGGAATAAACCTCAACAGATATATACATGCCTGCATGGTAGGATTATTGATGGTGTAATGCAATAAATTGGAGCATTCTGTTGGAAAACAGCAGCAACTATTAATAGCAAAAGGAGAGGGAAACAACAGGAAACTTATCGATAGAGAAGAGTTCAAGCTGTGTCGTGGAGACCACTGTCTTGAAAACGAAATTCGGCACGACTCCGGTGCTAATCATATATTGTCGGTTCGTTCCCCAAGGTTTACACAGCTACTTTCAAACACGAGCACACATGGTTGAAAGGATGGAGTTTGCACAATACAATTGCTTAAAGGAGAAGAAATTTGAGAAGAGAAAGGGGATTCGAGTATGTAGTTTCGAGGAATCATCCCTCAATTTATAGAAGTATTTTTAACTGCTCTGGCCAGAAAAATAGGAGATGAAGTTATGGGATTTTTTACCTGATCAAAGGGATGCACTTCGCACATATCCTGAAGCATTTAACGGAATCAGTTCTCCACTACCTAGTATGTGGAAATAAAACCGGAAGAGGAGAGACCAGGTCTGCCACTTCTTCCCAAATATGAAAAGAGATATATTTGGGCCTAGAAAGAAAACAGGCCCTTGAATAGAAAGTAATTTGGGCTGGACACTTTAAACAATAAGAGCCATTCTCCCAACAATCCCCCACAAATGGCTCTTTTTGCAAAAGAAGGGAAAATTTATGAGCAAAGGAAGGAATGAATACTTAAGTGTCAATATCTTTTGATTTGAATTGACACGTAGTGATGTGAGGCAACGACTTCTGCCTAGATGAGTGAATTTCATCTTGAACTCACATAGGTTTAGGCCGAGAACCCCCCCCCCCCACAACATGTATAGTATCCTTAATTTGTGCAAACTCCGCGGTAATACTATCATTGCGCTTTTATGGCCATGCGCATACCTTAGTCTCATGAGTGCTCTAGAAAAACATCTCAAATCTTTCATAGAAGGTGGCCAGCCTTGACACTCACATAGGTGGTTCCTTATCAGGTGCTTTTCAATAGCAAACCCTTCCCACTGAAGATTAGAACCATTAAGAGTGTATAACTCATCCTCACAGTATATATGATATGAGATTATCAAGTCCTTCTCAATAGAACCACCAAATATATGGCTATAAACTCATAATTTGTTCAAACACGTATGTCACCAAAGATGTCTTCATATTACCATCATTACATAGCAATTAATTCACAAAGCTGCCATTGATAACAAAGAACATAGACTATGATGATACCATACAACTCATAGATAAATTATTCATCATATTACCTAATTTGTGGATCTTAGCGCTATTCCCTTTGATGAATCAAGAACACCTTTTCTTGGTAATTCTTTGGTGAAAGCATCTGCCAAATTCTTTTCAGACCATGCCTCCAAAGTGATAACTCCATTTTTCAGCATTTGTTTGACTACACCATGCCTGATTCTGATGTGCCTTTTCTTGTCATTATACACAGTGTTCTTTGCCACTCCAATTGCTGCTTGAGAATCACAATGAAGAGAGATAGGAGTGTTTTGTTTTCCCCACAAGGGTATATCTGCCAAAAGACTCCTCAGCCACTCTGCTTCTTGACCTGCCAACTCTAGAGCAATAAATTCAGATTCCATGGTGGATCGTGCTATACATGTTTGTTTTGAAGACTTCCATGATATAGCACCTCCACCAAGGGTGAAAACATAGCCACTAGTTGAACTAACTTCGTCATTATCTGCAACCCAATTTGCATCACAAAATCCTTCTAAAACTGCAGGAAATTTGTTAAAATGCAAACACGAGTTCATAGTACCTTTAAGGTAATTAAGAAAACGGTGAAGCGCATTCCAATGGGCACAATTAGGACTATGTGTATAACGACTTAATCTACTTACAGCATAAGCTATATTAGGCCGAGTATAGTTCATCAGAAACATAACACTGCCAATAATTTTAGCATATTCATCTTGAGACACGTTGGGACCCTTATTCTTTTTCAAGTGGACACTCGGGTCATAGGGTGTTCTTACTGGCACAACATCAAAGTGATTAAACTTCCTAAGAAGCTTTTCTATATAATGAGATTGACACAGAGATATACCATTGGAATCTCTACTGATCTTGACTCCTAAAATCACATCAGCATTTCCCAGATCCTTCATTTCAAATTTAGAGGACAAGAAATTTTTGGTGATCCCTACAACATGCAAATTGTTACCAAGAATAAGCATATCATCCAAATAGAGGCATATGATCACACAATCTGATCCAAACATCTTAGAATATACACATGAATCAGAAGTATTTATTACAAAGCCATCACTTAATAATGTCTTATTAAATTTCTCATACCATTGCTTAGGAGCCTGTTTAAGGCCATAAAGAGATTTTTTCAGCTTACATACCTTGTCTTCTTGGCCTTGACTCATGAAGCCTTCTGGTTGAGTCATATATATTTCCTCTTCCAAATCACCATTTAAAAAGGCAGTCTTCACATCCATTTGATGGATGACTAAGTCATGAATAGCTGCAAGAGCTATCAATGCTCTTATGGTGGCAATCTTGGTCACTGGTGAAAAGGTATCAAAGAAATCTATACCCTTTCTTTGAGTGAAACCCCTTATTACTAGTCTGTATTTAAATTTTTCTATGGATCCATCAGGTCTTAATTTTTTTCTTGAAAATCCATTTATTAGTGATGGGTTTGCACCCTTTGGGCAGACTGGTCAATTCCCAAGTTTCATTTGAAATCAGGGAGTCTAATTCACTATTAATGGCCTCTTTCCAGAAACTAGCATCAATTGAGCTTATTGCTTCTTGATATGTTTAGGATCTTCCTCAATCAAAAAAGCATACACAAATTCAGCATTTATAATATCAAGATCATTTATTTCAGATAGAAAAGCAGTGACAAAGTCAGGACCAAAATTTGATTCAATTCTACGCCTTTTGCTCCTCCTAGGTTCATCCATATTTAAGTTTGTGGTTACTCTAGAACCTGGAAAAACACTCAGGGAAGCATCAGAAGTTGCTGTCAAAGACACATCAGTTGTTTTAGGTGCATAGTTACCAGAAGAGAAGACCTGATCATTTTTTCTTAAAGGAAGCACCTGCTCAAAAAATTCTGCATCTCTAGATTCAGTAATAGTATGATCATGCAGTGACATGAATCTGTAAGTAGCACTGTTACAGGAGTAACCAATAAATACACAATCAAATGTTTTAGAACCAACAGTAGTTTTTCTAAAATCAGGTAATCCTACTTTGGCCAAACACCCCCACACCCTTAAGTAACCAAGGTTGGGGGAATAACCTTTCCATAGTTCATAGGGTGTTTTGTCCAGTTTTTATGAGGCACACGATTCAGTACATAACATGCAGACAAGAGAGCTTCCCCCCACATGGCATCAGAAAGCCCTGAACTTAAGAGTATAGCATTCATCATGTCTTTAAGGGTTCGATTTTTTCTCTCCGCTATGCCATTTTGCTAGGGTGTGCGTGGGGCACTGAACTCGTGAATAATTCCATTATTTTCACAAAAGGTTTTGAGAGAATTAGACCCATATTCCCCCCCTCGGTCAGACCTAAGTCTTTTAATCTTTCTGTCAAGCTGGTTTTCTACTTCAGCCTTGTATTTCAAAAAAGCCTCTTCTGCCTCATCTTTATTTTTAAGTAAATAAATTTTGCAATACCTTGAATAATCATCAATAAAGGATATATAATACCTTTTACCTCCTCGACTCATGGTATTTTTAAAATCAGCCACATCCGTATGCACAAGATTGAGCAACTCAGTTTGTCTTTCAGTCACCTGCTTGAAAGGTTTCTTTGGATGTTTTGCTTCTACACATATTTGACATTTAGACAGGTTATTAGTTTCAACAGCCGGTATTAGGGACATATTTTTGAGTCTATTAATAGAACTGGTATTCAAATGTCCTAATCTCCCGTGCCAAACATCAAAAGAGTCAACAATATACGCAAAACCAGTACAGTTTTCATTATTGAAAGATTCAGAAGCAACATTCAAAACATTTAAAATAAATAACCCCCCATTAAGATAACCCTTCCCAACAAAATCCCCATTTCGTGTAATGACAACTCGGTCAGCCTCAAAAACGAGTTTCAGACCAGCCTTGTTTAGTAAGGCACCAGACACTAGGTTACGACGCAGTGAGGGAACAAATAAAACATTTGAAAGGGATAATGTTTTTCCAGAGGTGAGTTTGAGCATAATCTTCCCTTTTCCAAGGACTCCTGTCGTACTTGAGTTTCCCATGAAGACACATTCACCATCAGTGGCGTCTTCAAAATCCCTGAACAACTCCTTGTTGGCACACGGATGTCTTGATGCCCCTGTATCCAAAATCCAGTCAATTTTGTTGTCCACCAAGTTTGCTTCAACCACCACTGCAGCTATAACGTCCTCATGTTCAGCTATGCTGGCTTGAGCGACTCCAGAACTGCTGCCCTTCTTCTGATTGTTATGTCCAGAGCTTTGACGTTTAGAGCATTGGAAGACTTTGTGACTAGGAACTTCGTAAACATAGCAAACCACCTTCTTGTTGATCTTGCCTTCGGGTTTAGGAATTTTGTGTTGATTTTTGTTTTGTCGATTTATCCCCTTTCCCTTGAACCTGGTGTTATGAGAAGGGCCACCTGTTTCAACAAGGTTAGCCTTAGCAGAAATAGATGAAATCGAATCAAGCTTATCTTTCAATCGATTGGCCTCCTCAGTTCTCATGTAGCCAATAAGGTCTTGCAAGTTGAGATCTTTCTTTTTGTGCTTCAGGTGGTTTCTGTACTCAGCCCAGGAAGGTGGGAACTTCTCCAACAGAACATTTGCTTGAAATATGTCACACATCTTCATTCCTTCATTTAAAACATCCGTGCACAAGTTTTCATAGAGATGAACTTGTTCCATGATTGGTTTATCATCCTCCATTTTAAATGCCAGCCATCTACTGACCACGTACTTCCTTTTCCCTGCATCATCTGCACCATATTTCTTCTCCAAAGAATCCCAAATAGTCTTAGCAGATTTGTAAGAGACAAAAAGATCAAACAGGTTGTTGATCATATGATTAAGCAAATGTCCCCTAACGGTCTTATTGTCCTTTTCATATTTTTGGATCATTTCTTCATCTACGGGTTTGGTTTTGATAAGAAGAGGGGTGGACTCAGGGGTGACAATTGCAGTATTAGAGGCAGGTAAAATAGGAGGGTCATTAAAGAGAACATGATCTAGTTCCAAAGGGTCATTAAAGAGAACTGATATTCTGGAAAATATCAGTAAAAATAGTTCAAGCCATCAAGAGGTTCCAGTTTTGACATGTCAGGAATAGCTTTGGACATATTCACAGCCATTAATAGTTGGTGAAAGGGAGGAATTTCGTTTTCAAAATTGTTGGAAAAACAGCAGCAACTATTAATAGCAATAGGAGAGGGAAACAACAGGAAACTTATCGATAGAGAAGAGTTCAAGCTGTGTCGTGGAGACCACTGTCTTGAAAACGAAATTCGGCACGACTCAGGTGCTAATCGTATATTGCTGGTTCGTTCCCCAAGGCTTACACAGCTACTTTCAAACACGAGCACACATGGTTGAAAGGATGGAGTTTGCACAATACAATTGCTTAAAGGAGAAGAAATTTGAGAAGAGGGAGGGGATTCGAGTATGTAGTTTCAGGGAATCATCCCTCAATTTATAGAAGTATTTTTAACTGCTCTGGCCAGAAAAATAGGAGATGAAGTTATGGGATTTTTTACCTGATCAAAGGGATGCACTTGGCACATATCCTGGAGCATTTAACGGAATCTGTTCTTCCCAAATATGAAAAGAGATATATTTGGGCCTAAAAAGAAAACAGGCCCTTGAATAGAAAGTAATTTGGGCTGGACACTTTAAACAATAAGAGTCATTCTCCCAACACATTCTTGTAAAAATCGAATGAGCTAATGGAGAGGAAGACATATATACTTCAGATTTTATGGAGGGTGGTGGAGATTAAAAGTGTGGTTGGAATTCTCCATAAAGCAAATGAATCTAGATGGTTAAAGTTTTTGAAGTGAGGAAGACCGAAGAGCAATTGTGAAGAAAGAAGATGACCAGGGAAGACGTATGGAAGAATGAAAGTAGAAGAGATAAAATACTTGTTGTCGGCCTAGATGCTTCGAGGTTTATGGCGGAACTCTTTGGGGATGAAGTCCTTGAGAGCCGTGTAAGAGGAGGATTTGAGAGCCATCTGAAACATTTGGGTAGAATGGAATGACGAAGGGATCAGTAAAGATAGAAGTTTACTAAAATGCCCTAAAAGTTTAGGCGGGACAATGACTTAGTTCGATTAATATCTATAGTTTTATATAGTAAACTTGAGTTAAAAAACAATGATGTGTCAACTTCTTATTGGATAATGCAAATTTTATTATTATTAAAATTAAAGCAATTAATTAATTCAATGTCCACCCCAATTAAAACTTGAGTTACGGCTCATTTAGAGCAAGAGTAGGAGAAAAAATCTCTCTTTTTTAAAGTGATATAACTTTTATATTTATAATCCAAATTCTACAAAAAATATATCAAAATTTATAATTTTTTAACATCTTTCATATGACACCAATATTATATATATATATATATATATATCTATCAATTTATTAGTAATCGCTGACATGTGAATCTCTTATTGGTTAACAAAACTTAAATTGTCATTATTATCAAAACAATTAATTAGATCGATTAATTAAAGGAAAAGCCATAGAGAAAAACGTGTGCAAGAGAAAAATTTGGAGAAAAACTTGGAGATAAAAACGTAGAGATTGTTTATAGTTAAACTTGACTCCGATCCACACAATAAAATATTTGTTTAATAATAATTCCATGCGTATAAACTAATTATTAATTCCAAAAAATAGCTAAAATGGCTAATGGAAAAGGCACAAGGAGGAAAAGGTGGAGACAATACAACCTGTGTGTGCATATATATCCACTGGGATATCATTATCTTTTAATCTTAATAATTTTCATAATATTATTATCACCCATTGTTCATATAGAAAATCTAATTCTCTTTTCATCTTTAATTTTAGGCATTAAATGTTTATTGCATTCCACTTTAGAGCCCGTTTTATAACCATGTTGTTCGGCTTATCAGACTTATTAACCAATTTTTTCATCAAACACGTAATTTTTTATTTCGCGTGCTGAATTGTGTAATAATAAAAAGTAAGGTTGATATTGTTTTTCTAGTTGTCTGTATTGATTGGATGGGCTAATAGCCTAATACAGCCAATTTGGATATTACCACAGGGAAGGACACAGCTATCCTTCGTCAAAGGACACCCTCCACCGGCGGCCATGGCGGCCACAACCCCTGCTCTTCAGACCACCCTTATCCAACGCCCAGACTATCCAACCCTCAACCTTCCACTACCATACTCCATCACGCAACCCTCCACCCTCCCTTCGAGTTCACCGGCACTTGGTCTAACAAGCTCATCCGCAGGACATATATCCTACGCAGCAGTAGCATCAGGAGATAGAAGAAATACAACAGGTTCTGGATCTCTTACACCCGCAAATACTCCCCAACCATCTAGAAGCTTTTCAGAAATTGTAAGTCAAACGAAACCCTCTCTCCCTCTCAAAACTCCCTCTACTATTGCGGGACTGCCTGCAGTTAACTTCACGCAAGAGGAAATCCTTACCCTCTCTAACGAGTTGGGTTATGCTCTTATTGGGACCTTTCTATACGGAGTACCAAAGCTATCCTCAGTCCGTAGCTTCTTTGAAAAACTTCGTTTCAAAGGAAACTACTCTATAGCCCCTTTGGCTCGGCGACAAATCTTAATCAGGTTTCATAGAGAAGAAGACTACCACCGTTGCTGGTTCAGAGAGACATGGTCCATTGCTGGAATTATGAGCTTCGCGTTACTAAATGGACTCCCAAGTTCTCTCCGGGCAAAGAATCACCGGTCAACCCCACCTGGATTAACCTGCCAGGACTGCCAGTTCATTTGCAAGACAAAAGAGCACTGTTGTCCATTGCTAATCTCATAGGCACGCCCCTGCTACTAGACTCTGCAACGGCAAATCGAGCCAGGCCCTATACAGCTAGGGTTCTTGTGGAACTTGACGTCACATCCGAAAGAACCACTAAAATCTGGATTCAAACTGGTAGCTCGGGTTTCACCCAAGAGGTAACGTACGATTACATTGAACCTTATTGTTCGCATTGTTACCTTCTAGGCCATGTCACATGTAACAAAGGTAAATCGCCTTTGGTCAACACCGAACCTCCCCCCCTTAATCCTCTCCCTCAAATCAAAACCACCCAACCCAAAATCCAGAACTTACCCGCCCCTCCTCAAATCCCAGACAACACCTCTACCAACTATGTCCCCACCTTGAACTCTACTGACCTATTCCCACCCCAAAATCACATAATCCAACCTACTGCCTTACCAGACCCTCAGACCTCTACTCCCAGCCAAAAAAACCATAACTCCTACACACCCCACTTCTTGTCCTATCTCGGAAACCTCTCCACATGCATCTGTCCCTAAACCCACCCCCCTTCCAACCACAGTAAATAATTCCACCACCCAACTCCCCGATCTCATCAACCCCTCTGATCCCTCCAACCCCTCAACCCCTTCAATCCCTCCCCCTAGCCCCTTACATTTCCTCGACCCGCAAGCTCCAAAAACCTCACAACCAAACCCGGTAGCCCTATTGCCAATCACCAAAACCACTACCGATCAAATGCTGAAACCAAACACTCCACAACCTATTCCTGCATCTACACCCACTCTCCCCCTAAGCCCCATCTTGGAAAACCCTCTTCACCCCATCCCAACACCTCAATCCCCCATTATCACTCAACCTTTCCCCTCACCTCCCCCCAAACCCAAACACCTTGACGATCTATTATTCAAAGAAGGAATTCCCATAACAACAATCACTGAAGAAGGACACTGCTCCGATGGGGAGCCTATCCTTAATCAAGGGGAGGGCTTGGAAAATTTCTCCAACTCCATAGATAACAAACTCCGTCAGATTTCTTCAGGAGCCACTACTGGGGGCTCCCTCCTTCACACAGCCTATAAACGACAAACTAAAACATCCTATTCTCTTCCTCCAGTCTCTACCAGGTCACAGAAAAAGAAAGAGGCCGCAGGGCCTAAACCCTCACTCAAATGATAATACTAAACTGGAATGTTTGTGGTCTTCTTTCATCCCTAGGAAGACTCCACAGCCTCATCTTGCAATGGGACATCTCTTTGGTCACAATTATCGAACCCATGGTTTCTATTGATAAAGCTGATTCCTACAAGACATCGCTTGGATTTTCTAATGTTTACACCAAAACCGATAATAAAATATGGTTTTTCTGGAAGGAAGATTTATTCAAAATTCAGATCATCTCAGAACACGACCAGGTCGTTCACTCTAAGGTCACGGAACTAAACAGTGGGTTTGAGTTCCTCTTTTCGTGCGTGTATGGGAATTATACTAGGGCTGACAGAAACACTCTTTGGAACAACTTACGGGGAAGGAAACCTAATAACGGAGAACCGTGGCTTATCGGAGGAGACTTTAATGTGATAGCATCCCCAACTGAGTACAGTGGTAAAACTGTCCCCAAATTCTCAGAAATGGAAGACTTTACCTCCTGCACGGACTACTGTGATCTCAACGAAATCGAATTTACAGGCTGTAAATTTACGTGGACAGGAATTAGGAGCACCGGAAGGCTTTGGAGACGCCTAGACAGGTTCCTAGCTAATAAGGAATTTATGGATAACTTTGATTCCATTGTGGAATCCCATGTCAGCAGGGCAAGTTCAGATCACACGCCACTCATTCTCTCATGCAAGAAGCTACCGAGGGAAGGAGCTAGGGCGTTCAAATTCCAAAATATGTGGACCACTCATCATAACTTCCTAGAAGTGGTTACTAAGAGCTGGCAATCGACCAAAGGAACTGGGGGAATGACATCCTTCTACCATAAACTGAGATCAACCAAAAACAGTCTGAAATCATGGAACCGAACTACTTTCGGGGACATCTTTCTCGAAGTAAAAAAGGCAGACCTTGAAGCCCAAAAGGCTGAAGCAGTTTACGAATCTAATCCTAATGACACTAACAGAACCCTTTGGGCGAGGACACAGGCCACTCTACTCCTCAAGCTGAAACAAGAGGAAACATATTGGAAACAGAAAGCACGAATCAAATGGCTCTCCGAAGGAGAAGCGAGTACAAAGTTTTTCCATAGATATGTAAAACAAAAACAGTTTAAGAGAGTGATCCAAACCATAGAGGATGAACAGGGAACAACCTATATGGATCAATCTGCTATCGGGGCGGCTGCAGTCAAACACTTTGAAGAGTTATACAAAGCAGTTGACAACGACCCCGGCGACATTGCCTATCTAATTGATCCTCAACCTACAGTCATCACTGCTGAGGAAAATGCCTCCCTAATCAGCATACCTCTCAAGGAAGAGATTAAAGAGGCTGTATGGTCACTGGATAAGGACAGCAGCCCGGGACCGGACGGGTTTAATGGCGAATTCTTCAGGGTGTGCTGGGATATCATTCAGGAGGACCTGGTCTCAGCTATTCAGGAATTTTATTCAGGGGCTACAATGCCCAAAGCACTATCCTGTAGCCTGATAACACTGATCCCCAAAACCCAAAATCCTAAAAGATTTAAAGACTACAGACCAATAAGCCTGGCTAACTTCACAAACAAAATCTGCACCAAAATACTGGCCAACCGACTGAAACCGATATTGCCTAAAATTATTTCCAAAGAACAGATTGGATTCATGGAAGGCGAGGATATCCATCACCATATCCTCATAGCTAAGGAATTCCTCCACCACATCGAAAGGAAAGTCAGGGGTGGAAATATCGCCATTAAGCTGGATCTAGCTCAAGCGTTTGACAGGGCGTCTTGGTCTTTCCTAGAGGTCGGGCTCCTTAAAATAGGTTTCGACGTAAGGTACGTTCACCTAATTATGTCTAACTTAGCCTCTACGACGCTGTCAGTCAATATCAACGGCCAACCCCATGGGTTCTTTAAGCCTCAGCGGGGAGTCAAACAAGGAGACCCCCTATCCCCTTTCCTATTCCTAATCATAATTGAAAGCTTCACTAAAGGACTACACAGACTGATACATTCAAAAAAGATTATCCCCTATATGATAGGAAATCATAGTAGCCCGGTGTCACATTTGGCGTTCGC